AGTCTTGGTGTACAGAGCTTCACCCTTCTCCCACCTTCTCCCCTTTGGCCCGGAGGAGGAGGGCCTGGATCAAACACCCTGGAGAAGCAGGGCAGCATAAGTGTAGCTTACCAGAAAAAGAGCCCCATCAGCATGGAGTGGATGCATTTGTGGCCACTCTCCTCCTTGGAATTCATACAGAATTCCATTATCGGCTCTGGACAGCAGCTCAGGGACCATCTTATCTCATGCCCATTTGACAGACGAGAAAGCTGGAGCCCAGAAGGGGGAGCAGAGGGAGCAGAGCCGGGGCTAGAGTTGGGCTGCTGATTCTCAGAGCACTGCTCCTTCCTAATCACAGGCAGTGAACACTGCAAATACGATGCCTCGTTCCCTCTACAGATGTGCAGAGTGAGGCGCAGGTGCGGGGCAATTCTGCCAGCCCCCTGGACCAACACGGCCCTGAGATCCACACCCACACACCAGTAGCTACCCTCCTTCCTGACAGGCAGAGCAAGGCTGAAATGTGGAGGATACCAGCGCAGACTAAGGAGGGCAAGAGGGCCGAGCCTGCAGTCCCCACTAGGGAGACCTGTTAATTCAAGCCTAGGGCTCCTGGGGAGGCAGGCAGTGGGCCACGTGGATCTGGGACCCTCCCCAGCTCCTCCACACGGTGACCTTGTGGTCTTGAACCAGTCATTTCAGCCCTATTTGTAGAATGGGGCATAACAGAGTCGTCTCCCATGAGGCCGTGGTGAGGCGTAGATGAGTGAAGATATGTAAATTAAAATAGACAACAATTATCAAGTCAAGTTACTGTGTAACGGCTCTGTAACAGGCACTGCTTGGAAACACTTTACGGGTACTTTATCATTTAATCATCACCCTTGTGAGACAGGCCCTGCTAATGCCCCCATTTTACAGATGAGGAAACAGAGGCACCGAGGACCACACCGCTGGCAAGTGGCAGAACATGGATTTGAACTGGAAACAGGCTGACTCTGAATCCCTCTAGCTAGAGCCCCTGGCGAGGCCAGCTTCTGTGCAGGGTGAGTGTTTAGAACGGTGCCAGGCACGCAGAGCTGCTCGGCAATGCTGCTGTTGATAGAACAATAATTATTATTGTCGCTGGGGACACTTGCCACCAGCAGTGCTATCTTCCCAAAAGTCAGCAGAATGACTGTCCTGATGTGTTTTACGAAACGTATCAGTTCTTCTCTTTAGAAGGAAGGGAGTAGTTAGCAAGTGCTCAAGATAAATGCTTGTTGAACCGAAACATTTTATGGTCATTTTAGAAAACATGAAAAGAAGGTGGGAGAAAACCCATAGGCCTCCCGTCCTCCTTTCACTTTTCTAGGCATGTTTATTTTAATTTTGGTTCCTAGTTGCAAATGTGCTATGAGAGAATTCTGGATTCTACATCCTTCCCTTAACATAATTCCGTGAGCCCTTCCCTTGTATGATGATTTTTAATGACTATAGAATAGTCCATCAAACAGGTGTCTTCTTCATAGCCCCCTCTCCATTTTCTCCAGGTTGGGGTTTTTATTCCAGTCTCTGCTGCTACAGCAAACATCCCCGAGATTAAAGTTCTTTACTTTTTTGATGTGATTTGGAGAAATTAGTTTCTCAAAGTGGACTTCCTGGAACCAGGAAGCCAGTGTTAGGGGAGGTTTAGGGGACAGAAGGCCCTTCTCAGTGTCCCAGCCATTGTGTATTTCATCCATGCTTCAGGCCTCCCCACCCTGTAGGTATTCTTGAACCTCACTTTCTGGGCCGAAGGTTTCTTCTTATCTGCTAAAGTTGTCCGTGCCACCTTCCAGCCGAAGGACAGAGACCTGGTATCTTGCGCTCAGTCTGACACTGGTGGTCTACAGGACCTTGGATGTGTCACTTCTGGGGGGGATTACCTCTCCATCCTGCCCAGTGAGAAGCCCTGATGACAGAGAGCCCAATCCCAGCTCTGTCCCTAGGACACCGTGAACCTTCAGTGTCTTGGGAAGCCCCCTGGGCTCAGTGTCACTGTCTCTTTGTAGGAGATGGGAATGGTAAAACTGTCAGGCCGGCAGAGGGGAGCTCATGGGCACCCAGGTGTCTTTATGATTTTATTTATTTATTTGAAAGAGAGAGAGAGCACAAGCATGGGGAGGGGCAGAGGGAGAGGGAAAAGCAGGCTCCCCACTGAGCAGGAAGCCCCATGTGGGGCTCCAACCCAGGAGCCTGGGATCATGACCTGAGCCGAAGGCAGACGCTTACCGACTGAGCCACCCAGGCGCCCCTCACCCAGGTGTCTTATCTACCCCACTGGACTAAGCACCTCTAGAAGTCTGAGCTCAGATGTCACCTCTTCCAGGAGACCCTTGCTAGCCACCCTGGCTAGGCATCGTCATTCTCCATCCCCTCACCCAGTTTTATGCTCCTCACAGCACTGAGCAACTATTTGAAAGGATATTGTTGATATCAGCGTTTCCTTTTTCAGTGTCCAGCCACGGTCCCTTGAATGTCACCTCCAAGAGAGCAGGGATGAGGACTGTGTCATCACTTATTCCACAGAACCCCACAAATACGTGGGGTACTCCAGGCACACTGTACATATAGAAGCCACATGTATTGAGCACCTACTATATGCTGGGCACCATTCCAAGCCTTTTATATATAGCAACTCTGGTAATGCTGCCAAGCCCCTGAGCTGATAGCAGTTATTATTCCCATTTTATAAAGGGGGAAAGTGAGGCACAGAGCAGTTGAATAACTTGCCATGGTTCCACTGCTAGTAAGGAGGGGAGCAGGGATGTCCCACTGCACATCGTAAGAGTATGCTGAGCCAAACATGGGACAGAGTCTCTGTCCCCATGAAGCTCAGGGGCTAAAGCGCAAGTTGGGCTAGTCCACAATATAGGAAGTCAGGATACTTCCTAGAGGAAGCGATCCCTCAGCTAAGCCCTGAGGACAAATAGGGGTGTGCTAGGATGAAGTGGAGGGAAGAACAATCTGAGGAGAGGAAACACTGTGGAGGCCAAGAGATAAGCCAGTGAGCACCAAGCCTGAAGAAGTAGAAGCGGCTTGTGTGCCTGGAGTAGGGGATACAGGGGTGTGCCATGAGTCAAGGGGCATGATCATCTCAACCCTCAGTGACTAAGGTTAAAAAAAAAAAAAGTCCCAGGGAGCAAAATGTGAGGCAATATAGCTGGGAAGATGGGCAATGCCCACCCCAAGCCCCAAGATCCTGCAGGGCCTTGGCAAGTTCAAGGGCCCAAATTTTATTCCAAGATTCTACATCATACCTCAAAGACTGTGTGCGCCCCTCACTCAGTGGTGGCCAAAGCCCACACAAGGGTTTCTGGAAATTTCTGCTGACTCACAGTGGGACCTCAGGCTCCTCCATACCCTCTCTGGGTCTTAGTATCCCAACTGGTATTGAATGACCCAGTCCCAAAACACATCCCCACTCCATCAGCCTGACATCCCATAAACAAAATGCTGTTGACCAATGAGATCCTGGCATTCCTGGAGTCTGATTCTGGGACTCTTGTGCACTGGCCATCCCATACTTGCTGAGGCCAGCCCACCACCACGGCACTTTGCCAAGCAGTCTCTGGGAAGGGGGTTGAGTTCTCCTGCTCCTCGTCCCTCCAAGATACAGGAGCTCCCCCAGGTTTTGGCTGGATAGTGCCGGGGGGGGGGGGGGTTCTGCTCAGATCCTCCTGGAGACAAAGGAGCTGACCTGCAAAGAGTTCCAGCGGGAGCCCCGCTCCCCCTCCCTTCCCCCCTCTCCCTTCTCAGTCCACGTGTCTCTATTGTCTGCTCCCCGCTTCAGGGAAAGACACAGCCTCGGATGTGTCAAAACCACCACCCCCCGGCAGCAGGGAAATTAATTACTGGACGATTTTCACTTCCTCTTGCAGCGCCTGCCTGAGCTAGGCACCGGAACAGGACCGGCTGAGCGGGGCCGGCATCCGCATCGGGGACTTGCTGCCCCCACCAGTTCTGGGAGAAGAAAGTTGAACCCCAAACCCAATAGGGGGCTTCAGTGGGAGGTCAAGCTGGGGTGGGGGTGACGACTTCCTCTAGTTAAAGCTGAGTGTCCACACTGGCCACTTCTGAATTGCGGGAAAGGGAGAGGACTGGAGGCGGGAGGGTCGCGGCTGGAGAGCTCACACTCTTTTCTTTGCATCCCCTTCCCTGTGTCCCCATGTGCCTGAACCCCGCCTGCCCGGACCACTCTCTGTCCTTTCCCCTCGGCTTCTCCCTCTACCTTACACTTTTCTTTCCCTTTCTTTGCATCCCTGAGGGGCTTTCTTTTTGTGTGTCTGGATCTCTCTCTTTCTCCCATGGGTGTGTGAGCGTGTGTTGCTACTTCTTTCCATCTCTGTTTTCCTTCTCTGTTCCTCTCTTGTGTCTTTTTGTCCTCATCTCGGTCTCTATTTCTACCTCTTTCAGTGTGTGTGTCTCTCTTTCTCTGTATGTCTCTTTCTGTCTTTCTCCGTGTATTTCCTCTCTCCTCTCTCTCTCCCTCTCTCTCTCTCTCCCTCCCCCCCCCACTCCTCTTTCTCCGTCTCTCTGTATCTCTGCGCCTTTCTCGCCCTCACTTTCTCCCCTCCTGCCTGCCCGCTGCTCCCTGCGCCTGGCCTGCCCCCACCGCTGCCGGTTCAGGGGAACGTGTGCGGAGCGATTGTCCTGGGGGACATTTGATGGATTAGAGCGCTGAACAGTTCCATTGCTAGGGGACCACCTGATCTCCTCCAGCCTGCGTCCCATATAAAGCCGGCAGCCGGAGTGCTGAGCACAGCTCCAGCGATCGCCTGTCTGCGCGCCGCCGCCGCCAAGCCCAAGCGGGAGCCCGAGCCAGAGCCGGGGCCGCCGCCACCGGTGCCGGCTCCGCGCTGCCGCCCGCCCGCCGGCCCGCTGGGAGCTGTCCAGTGCTGAAACCCCGCGCAGACAGCCAATCGCGCCCGGCTGGCCGCCTCCCCCCACCGGGGCCCCACGCAAGTGCCCCCGCCGAGCCCCCCGCCAGTCGCACCATGCCGCGCTCCTTCCTGGTAAAGAAGATCAAAGGGGACGGCTTCCAGTGCAGCGGGGTGCCGGCCCCCACCTACCACCCCTTGGAGACCGCCTACGTGCTGCCTGGCGCCCGGGGGCCGCCCGGGGACAACGGTGAGTAGGACCCGGCGGGGGGGGAGGGGCTGGGGGGGAGAGGGAGGGGAGTTCGGGCCCTCCCCAACTCGGGCCACGAGGAGAGGTGCGCGCGGCAGGGAACCCCGGGAGGAGATTTCCCTGGCTGTGTGCTCCTCCCGGGCTTCCCGAGGGCCGGGCGGGCGGGGCAGGGTCTAGGTCCCTACAAAGGGAAAGTCGCAGGGTCCATCCATCCCACAGCCACGCGCCAGCCCGGACTTTGAAAGTTGTGGCCCTAGAACGTGGCTGGAGTGAGGGGTGGTGAGAGAATGGAAAGAGAGAGAGGCACCTACGAAGGGCTAATGCTGGGGGGCTAATGCATAAGGCAGTCTGAGGGTCCTCTCCCCTGGTGGAGGGAAGGAGGCTAGCTGCCTGAGTGTACTGCCCTGGTGGGGAAGATAAGCGAGCCAGGACTACCAGTCCCTGGGGAGACAGGGCTGGCTCCTTGGGTGTAGCGGGGGTGGGGGGGGGCTCCTTCCCTTCAAGCCTGCTCCCCCTGGCGATACCAGACAAGTGTTCCCAGGCCCCCTCTCTCAGCAACTCTTTTGTTACCCTCAGCCACATGCCTGCCAAAGGCTGGGCCTGTCCTGGGGGCGGCAAGGAAGAGGGGGTTTCTAGGAGGGGTTCCCCCAAAGTGGCTCCTGGTCCCCTGGGCTGCACTTTCTCCCCACTCCAGCTTCTCAACCCCCTCCAGAGCCAGCCCTGCTGCTCCTTATAAGTCCCCCACCCCCAACACACTCCATCTCTTCTCAGAGCAAGTTCCTGCAAGGACAAGGGTTTGAGGGACAAGAGAGGTCATTTAGCCTCAGAAGGGGGTGATCTCTGCAGGGTGTGCAGAAGAATCAGAGACTGCTTCTGTAGACCCCATCCCCCATCAAGGGGATCACAAATCACAAAAGGGTTCTCCTATCATGGCCCATACCAGGCAGGTGTCTGGAGAATAGACATCTCTTTGGCAGTAAGAAATCTGACATCACATGTGGCATCAGCTTTGGGATGTGTGGGGAGGGGAGGATGAAGGAGAAGAGGAGAGGGGAGGGGAGGGGAGAAAAAGAAGAGAAGAAAGGGTTGAGGATGTTGGGGGGGGGTTTGAGGTGGTGAAGGCGGAGCCCAGGAGGGTGGGAGTTTCCACCTTAGGGATTTCCAAGCACTTCACCCACATTCCATCACTCTATCAAACCAGGTAGCAAGAGAGCGCTGGGCAAAGGGCTCTGTGACCTCATCAAGGTCAAAGAAATTAGGGAGTGATCAGGGATACAGCTACAGCCCCTCAGCCTCAGGCCTCCCCCAGATCCCCCAGAGAACCAACCCCCTTTTCCTTTGCCCATATGTCCCTTATTCTACTGCCCTCTTTTCTTGACCCCAGGGCCTCTTGGGGTCGAAGACAGGGGCCCAGGGATATGGCTGGGCTTGTCTGAGTGCTGGCAGGACAGAGGGTGGACCTGGGACAGTGCCAGGGCTGGGGAGTGTGTGTGCTAGGATCTGGGTAGAAACTGAAATGCCTGCAAGACTAGGATGTGGATCCCTTGGGGGACTGACACAAAGCCCTGGGCTCCCACCCCCTGAAGCCCCCATGGTCCTGTCCCCAGGCCAGTTGAGGAAACCCAGAGAAGCTTAGAGAATTTCTTATACACAGCCCAAACTGCAAACTATTCCTCAGGAGGGAAGCAAGAGTGCCTTGCTTTGAATTCAGTCCCAAAACACTTTGAAAGGAGCCCTTGAGTGAATGGTGGGGTCAGGGCAAAAGTTGGGGCAAAGCTATAAGCAGGGGTGTTCCCCTGGGCGTTCTACTGGGTTTGACACCCTAGAACCACCCCTGTCTTTGGCCCTCTCCCCCAAAGGGCTCTAGACCAGCTCCCTAGCCTCCAGAGAATCCTGAGGCTGTCCTGACAGTCTGATATATGGCCTGGAACTCTGGGAGACTAGGTCTCTGACTCGCTGTGTGACCTTGGGCAAGTGTCTTCCCTTCTCTGGTCCTGTCTCCCCGGCAGTGGAAGAGTTTGGATGCTGAACCAAGTATCCTTCCGACTGTGACAAGCTCAGCTTTTGTGAAGGTCAAGTGTGAGATGGGAGGCACTGGAGATGCCTGGATGAGGGTCTAACAGAATGCCGGGGGCCATTGTCAGGGTTTCTGTAGGATTCTGTTTACCATCCAATGCCTAGCTGAGGGTGGCCAAGTTTCTGAGACCAGGTATTTCTTGGCTTCATTCTCTGCAGGATGCCCCACAGTGAGGACAGGCACCCTGGTCTAGCTGCTTTGGCAGTGTCTGTAGGAAAGGGTTAGTGCCAGAGACCAGGGGGTGACCATTCAAGCCTGGGTATGGCTGGGAAACACAGGGACTGCCTCATCCTATTTTCAGGGGCCTCTCTCCTATCCCTGGGGTGTGGCTAGACTGGACAGTGAAGGCTCCCTCATTCCATGGGTGGGCAGGGTGCTGGGGGTCCTTAGAGAGTCTGCTGGCTCCTAGTGGCCCGTTGTCTCCGCTCTGCCGGAAATAACCTTGCTGAGCGTTTGAGGGAAGTGTGAAAAATTGCTGAGCCGACGTTTTTCTCTCCCAGCGTGTGTAAGTGTGCTGGGTAAACAAGGAGAAAGAGAGGAGGGGGGGAGGTGAGGAGATTGAGGGAGGGAAGGAGGGAGGGAGGAGAGGGAGGGGGAAGGGGGGAAGGGCCTGGGGCTGGAGAGAGTTCCAGTTATTAGAAAGATCCTCTTACAAGCCATTCCTGCAGCAATGGCTACAGGGTCAGGATGAGGCTGGTGGGAGGGGAAGCTGGGGAGGGATGTGGGGAGGGGGCCTGTGAATGTGGAGGTCAGGAGAGCCACAGGCTCCCAACTGATGGAAGATGCAGGGCCCCAAATAAAAGAGGTGTACTCCCAGCTCAGGGAATGCCTGGGAGTGCTGAGGATTCCTGAAGGACTCCTCCTCCT